CTCTGATAATATTGATACCAGCTTTGTAACTTTTCCAGAAGGTAACTTGAAAATGGCACCCTTATACATTGGAAAGGATACTGTCCTAAAGTGGCTTCTAAGGCTCAATCCTGGTAAGTCCAGTGGCCCTGATGAACTCCACCCACGTATATTAACAGCATTGGCTGAAAACATAGCCGAGCCATTGTCGGTAATCTTCAATATGTCTCTGGACCAGTCTAAATGTCCAAGAGACTGGAAAGATGCCATCATTAGTCCGGTCTTCAAAACCGGATCTAGAAACTTAGTTCAGAACTATCGTCCTGTTAGTTTGACCAGTATTGTTGTTAAACTACTAGAAAGAATAATTCGTGATGCTATCATTCAGTTCATTGAAGGGAACAAACTTTTCGCTGTGGAACAGCATGGTTTTAGAGCAGGTCATTCTTGCTTGACCAACCTTCTTTTGGCCAGAGAAAGTTGGGCAAGCTCAGCTGATGCTAATATACCGGTGGATGCCATATTCATCGACCTTAGCAAGGCGTTTGACAGGGTTTCTCATTCAGGTCTTCTAGTAAAGTTAGGTAGTCTGGGAATCAATAAAGTGGTTGCCGACTGGATTCAAGACTTTCTAAAGGACAGAAGACAAAGAGTACGAGTTAACGGGGTTTTATCAACATGGGAATCGGTTAAGAGTGGCGTTCCTCAGGGTACAATTCTAGGCCCACTTCTTTTCCTGATTTATGTTAATGAGATTCCATCGGTAGTTAAGTCATCCTGCTTACTGTTTGCTGATGACATCAAGATATGGAGGGCTTTACACGATGACAGTGATCAACTTGCTTTGCAGGAAGATTTAAACTTGTTAAGTGATTGGTGTAAGCACTGGGCCTTGGAGATTAACTTAAGCAAGAGTGTAGTTATGCATGTATCTCATAGTCACGTGCACAATTACTCAATGAATGGCATTACTCTCCCAGTGGTCACTGAGTACAAGGACTTGGGAGTGGTTGTGCAGCATGACTTGAAAACAGCAACAAACTGTAGAGCTGCAGCCACTAAGGGTTTTCGAATATTATGGGCCATACGCAAGGCTTTTGCGAATTTTGACGCTGAAATATTTCGTATATTATATCCGACTTATATCAGACCTCATTTGGAATATGGGATCCAGGCAGCGAGCCCGTGTTTCAAATACGAAATAGACTTATTAGAAAGGGTGCAAAGAGTAGGAACTAAGCTAATAAAGGGTTTCTCAACCCTCTCATATGAGGAGAGGTTAAGTCGACTGGGTTTATTTCCACTGTCATACAGACGACTTAGGGGTGACCTAATACTAGCATACCGTATCCTAAGAAATGATTTTGGAGCAAATTTATCTAATTTATTTCTTCCTTCTAGCACCAACCAATTGCGAGGACATCACCTCAAGGTTCAAAAACCACGGTCGAATCGTCTGCGTTTGGAGATCCGTTTTTCGCATCGAATTGTGAACCATTGGAACTCCCTACCGGAACACGTCGTATCAGCGCCATCCGTTGATTCATTCAAGGCGAGATTGGACCTCCTGTGTGTAACAAATCGAAAGGATTAACACAGGCATATAGCCTACTATCCTAAATAAATTGTAAACTGACTGGTGGGTGGCCATATGCCTCAAATTCCTCCTTCTCATTCATAACTCAGATGAATTCACACTTTGTGAGCAGCCATGTCCATTAAAACCCTATTGTTTCTCCATGTCACTATCCTTTCTCCCTCAAATTTATGCCTATTATCGTGCTTGTCAACCCCTTTTTTCTTCTCTTTTGTCTCCCTTTGTGTGGCACGGTACATGAGTTGTGGCAAGTTGAAGTGCTACTGCACTTCCGTGCACAGTTCTATGTTGAAACCAGGCAGTCAGTCAGTCATTCGAAATTGGATATGTGGAGTTTCAAGCTAGGCGTCTGATACAGCCAGTAGTTGATTCCCATCAATCGAGTGCCACCGACCCGCTTACTTCAGTCTGGACAATTGGACAGCATTATCACCCTTTAACACTTCGTTATTTAATTTCATCGAAGATGCACTGAAGAGGAAGGAGTTCACCCTAACTGATAACTTCAGCGACTGACGTAGGGATTGACGCCCGAATCGACTGTCAGGATAGACGACTAGAATGTTAGAAGGGAGATTTTGAGGTGCTATTTAACTGGCCTACAGCCACGTTCCACTTGACCACCATTCAACACCTACCTGAATGCGATGCAGACACCCATCCTCCATCTGTAACTAAGCTTACAAAGGCTGTTTCTAATCTGGAACGAGTCAGGACAGCACCACCTGATGGAATGACTCCAGAGGTGTTTGAGGACGATGATGGCAAATTGCTGTCTGGATTAACTAAGGCATTGGGCAATGTCTAGGAATTAGAGATAGTCCCGTTCGACTGGTGTAAGTCATTGATTATCTTAGTATACAGCAAGGGAAACAAGTCTTCCTGTGATAATCGTAAGGGGATTAGCTTGACTCATATGGTATCCAAAGTTCCCAGCTCGATAATCATGAGTAGACTAAGTGACGCTCGGGAGAAACAAACGCGAGAAAAGCAGTCAACCTTTAGACCAGGAGGAGGGTGTATTGATCATATGTCCACCCTTCTAGAGATTCGGGAACATAGGCATACTTACTGGCATCCAGGTAACAGTTAGTGGAGAGTTGTCACCTGAAGTCATGATAACCAGTAATATCAGTCAGGGATGACGACTGTCCCCATCTCTGGTTAATTTCATCAGAGATATACTAAGAGGGGGATTGACCCCTCACTGACTTTAGCCACTTATGTAGGGGCTGGACTTGTTACCACCAGAGAATAGTCTTGTTGACACGTCGGATATGCAAATGACAATATTGTCCTCTCCCAGGAGCAGGAGTAGTGAAGACTGACAAAATGCAGCAGAGTCTTCTGAACGCATTGAGCGGAAATCTCAGTATGTTTGACATGTGATTACCTCTTTTTGTCAAATACGCAAGACGATGCTACAAGACTGGACTACACTGACTTCTGGTTAGCTTGAAGACAGGGAGTGAAGTGGTAGAGTGTGTTGACCACCACTTCACTGATTCAGGAAGTGCCATCCGTTCTAATTAATTGACTGATTGCTGACGAAATCTCAGCACGGATACGAATGACTGGCTCGTGTGACATTTGCCAATTTATGTCATATCTGGCTGGCGTAGATGTGTGGTATTTGGCTATGGACTAGAGTTGTGTACTGCAGACGAGCAGCAGTTCGCTCTGTCCTCCTTTATGGCAGTGAGTAACACACGGCCATTGAATGTGGAAGACATGAAAAAGCTGGCTAGCTGTCTTTCATCATACGTGTGTCTGCATTCTATCTCCCATTTCAGCTGGTATAATAGACTGAATAATATTGAGATGATGCCTAGGGCATGTGCTATGCATGCCTAGCTATCGCCTTCCTCGACAACCTATGTTAGCTAGCTGACATAGATACGATCAGCTTGGAAAAGCACTAGTGATGATGATGGTCAGACCAAAACTTGGCCGGTATCAGTCAATCAAATATCCGACAGTTGGTTTCAGACAGTCAGCCAGCCACGTAGGGATGTGTAGACTGCCTGACTGGTTGCAGTCCTCGAGATTCGAAGATCCAATGACGACTGATGGGTGGTCATATGCCTCAAATTCCTCCTTCTCATTCATAACTCAGATGAATTCACACTTTGTGAGCAGCCATGTCCATTAAAACCCTATTGTTTCTCCATGTCACTATCCTTTCTCCCTCAAATTTATGCCTATTATCGTGCTTGTCAACCCCTTTTTTCTTCTCTTTTGTCTCCCTTTGTGTGGCACGGTACATGAGTTGTGGCAAGTTGAAGTGCTACTGCACTTCCGTGCACAGTAGTGTGTTGAAAGGAGATATTCATTAGAAATTTTTGTCTAATAAGGTTCCGTATATTCTTGATAGTCTTTACATAGAGCAAGGGAAAATGGTTTTGGTTAGCAATAATGATTTGAAGGCGATTTTTCTGTTGTAAGGTGGATTTGGATTTCTACAGTTTGTGTGTTCGAAGTGATATCTTCGAGGAGATACTGAATGTATGATTTATTCATTTATTTTCAGTCATGCTATGCAGGCGAGGAAGTTAATAGGTTGTTGAATGACTTTTTGTTTTCAAGAAGAATGCAAGTGGAACGAGATAGGAATTAATTGGTGAACAGAAATTTCGTGTTTGTTCAGTTTCGAAATGTTAAATAACTGAGTCAAGTTTTTAAATCTTAAATAGAAGGAAGGAAAGAGAGACAAATAGTGGAAATAAAGTTTTTATTGACAATGCTTAGTAACGATTGAATAAATAAATGTAGATGTATATATACGGATGAATACACGTATATATACCTGGAGGTTAATATGGGAAAATAATACTACTACTATTAATAATAATCGTATATTGCTAAACAAATGCAAATATGTATGGATCTGTAACATCGTCTCCAAATATGATTGGTAGGTAAGTCGGTAGGTAGATGAGTACACCAGAAGTCAACTATAGGAAGAAAAGAAGAAATGCACACGGAATCATGCATACAAAAAGCAAACTTGGCAGCGAAGCAGAGAAGATGAATCCGAGAAATACATGATCAAAATGAAAGTCAAGCAACTTAGACAAACAAACGAAGCGCCAGTGGAGGAAGGGTGGAGATGGCGACGGAAACCAAAAGACGCGGATCATTCAGTCACTGACACATACACACATACTGACAAACATTCATTGAGAACGACTAGAACATACGCGGGCGTGTATGTGTATGTACAATACAAACACACTCACAAAGTAGAACACCGGAACTAGTGATGAAACAATGAATGACATATATTGTCCAAAAATCAGAGAAAAAGGCCCGTAAGAGCCAAGTAAAACGAACGAATGAAAAAATCAAACACCAAACCACCGATCCAATCAATCAAACAATCAATAAATAAGCACAGAAGAAATGCAAGTACAGGGGTATCACATTACCGTTTTTCTTGTCCTCTTTGTTGTTGATGATGATGACGTAATAAATAAGCTGTATAAATTTGTTCTATCACCGACTGGATGGATTTTAACCATATATGAACGTATTCATTACCTGTCACTGATGTTGTTGATCGTTTACTTGACGAAGAAGTTGTTGTCTGCGTATTTCCTCCTCCAGGATGAGAATGAATAAATAATAAGCCTGGCGCTGATAGACCACGAGCTCGCCCAACGCAATTCATCTCTGGGGATAGACACACTGACGACGACTGTCCAGGAGATTCTGATGGTATTCTTGTAGATAACTGATAAGGACTACGAAGGAACCAATTGAATGCTCCTGTTCCTCCTCCTCCTGTACTACTACTACTTGTATGACTAGAACGAGACGGATCTAATCTCGACAAAGATTTAGTAGTGGTAGTAGTAATAGGACTGCGGATGGAACCAGAAGAAGTAGCAGCAGCGTTTGGCACAATCGGTCGAAATCGATATGTTTTACCAAGAATATAATCTGTTAGCATAAATGAATTTGGATCCAGTGTACCATTACGATGTCGACCAAGTTCAACTTTTGAAGACATAAAAAGTGGATTAGAATGATCCAGCATCTTTTTTCCTCCTCTTTTTCTGGTCACCATTGTGGTTGAATGACTGGGTGTATTATGATTATTATTGTTATTATTATTACTGTTACTAGATACGTCTAATTTCTTATTCTCTAAATCTGTTGTTGTCCCAAGAAGACCTGAGATTTCACCGACATCATCATCATCAACTTCTGGTGCTGTATCCTCCCCGTCTATGATATTGTCATCATGATGATCATTACGATGACGTTCACTTTCATGATCCATTTTAATTTGATTAAACTCAGGACCATCACAACAATCGCCATTGCTAGTGAAATTCCTATGCTTAGGAGGATCAAATAGACAATGAATTTGACATTGATGTGCTTGGAACTATAAAACAAAAACAGAAGATACGAAAACGAAAGTTACTATAGAACATGATTTAAGCAACCAAATCCATATTTTCGACAAGAATTCTCATCAGGCTTAACACAGTTATCGAATGAAATATCGGTCAAAGACACTCGAAAAACAATATGGATTAATAGAATGAGATATTGTATATTGAGATAATCAGTGACATACACCAACCCGACAGGACTTCCTCTGATTCCCGGACGCCGCCCAGTACCTTAGTTAACGCAGACAGTAAGCTGTATCCGCCATCCTTAAGCACCTCTAGGTTCATTCCATCAAGTCCTGCTGCTTTGCCTCGTTCCAGACTAGTGATAGCTTTGTAACAACAGATCGTTTGTTAGGGAAATCAAAGCATATTTATATAATTTCATGTACATTATTATAGATTATTTAAGCAAACGAACACAGTCTTCCGATTGGTTGTTTCTCACTTAAAGTTAATCTTTCATCTCTTTGTGACTGTTTCTTGAATGTCAGATCATCTATATGTTAACTGTATCCGCCTACGCAAAGTCTGCTGTGGTCGGTTTTGAATCAGTCTTTGTTCATATTTTCTCACGACAAATCTTGAGAACGTAAATAGTGACGTAAATTACTGTCTACCAATTCGGCTAGTAGACAGCTCTCACCACAGCTTTAGTAACCTCAGTTAGGGATGGAGGACCTGTGTCTATACTCCATGTTCTGGGGGTTGTTGGATGTTCAGCAAGTTGAGCGTGACTTTAAGCCAAATAAACTGCTCCTTAAAGTGTTCTTTCCAGTTTTCCAGTCGTTTATCCTGGAAGCTAATTATATTGCTATTTTTCTCAGAGATTGTTTCACTTATCGTTTCCCTTTTACCACCTGTTTCCCTAATAAGCCTAAATAGTTGTCTGGTGTTACCAGTTGCCGATGCTCTTTCCATCTCTCTTTCGCTTTTGTCGCCCACCACTGTTCATGGCCGTTACGAAGGCTTCCTGTTAGTTTGCGTTTGAGCGGTTTTCGCTCCTCATCATATTCGGAGCTCGCCGGAATCAGTCTTCTTGCGTCAATCAGTTTGGATGAGGTGGTAGAAATAAATCCAATGGCTCTTACTAACTTTTGGTTTTGGGTAATTAACAGCTTTTACAGCTGTGTCTACAGCTAACTGTATGTTGTGCCGGGCTACCTCAGGAGGAGTCCTGCTGTTGAGCGCTATGTCATACTGAGGAGGAGTGCATTAAAAGCTGTCAGTAGGGCGACTAGTGTGGATGACAGGTACTCACCAATGCCACATATGTGATGAATTAGCGGCAGTCAGAATTGACAGGCCGTTGGATACCCTCCAAATGGACGAGAGTATGACTTGTAATCTGAAGGTCCTGGGTTGGATCCCTGATTGTGGGATTATGGGTTCACACGGCTGAACAGTCCCAAACAGCTGTCTAGTACAGTAACTCCTTCTAGCTGACAACGACTTTAACTGGGTGATCAAACCGGGTCACATCGCAGTATTTTGAGAGGATGCCGCCATAAGCGACCTAGTACGGTCAACGCGGATGAGTAGGTAATGTTCGGTTTTCTCTCTCCAAATCCTACCATGTAGCCACGCTTTCATAGCCTTCGTCTACAAAAAAGCTTCATAACCCGAACGAATTGAATAGGGTTAAAAACTTGGTTTGACCAACGGCAATTATGGGAACGTAACGACCATTAACACTGCTCCATTGCACTAACTTGTGGATCAAACATTTCGTCAATGGATTGAGAACGAGGTGGGTTATGAAGACAGTCACCATCTACTTCGGTCTGGGAGTCCGAGCAGACTATGAGACAATTTTGTGTTTTAATAATAATACATACATACCGAAGTTTATACACCCTCAGGCGTACCAGGTAATTTTGATTACGGGTTTCAGGAGAATCATAAACACAAAAAAAACACTTAACACAAAACAAGGTATAAGACTTACTTGACTTCTGTGGATTGCATTTTTTACCTTCGGTTCAAAATAGATCATATATGCTGTTAATCCATCACCAACTAACACTAGCGTAGCCCATAAACGACGCCACTTAGAAAAGCCGATTTGTCGATATTTTGTTGATGATGAAATATCAAAATAGACAGATTTTGTAGTCTCCCCAGCAGCAATATTTGATGCAGTTGACAAGGAGGAATTGGAAGCATGAACTGGTGGCGATGGTGATGTGAATAAAGAAGTGTTTGTCGAACAACTAGTGGAATTTAAACTTTGATTTGAATCTCCTCTTCCAAAAACTACTGGAGGGAAACGACAAACAGTACGCCGTTGAACCACTCCCTGACAAATAACTTTAACACCGAAACAATTAGGGAATGTTGTTGGTGCTGCAAATGAAATGTGATGATTATTATCGATGATGGTAGTAGGAGCAGCGTAAGGATTTACAACAGATGAGTCATTATGTTTCGATTTTGGTGATCCTGGTGGAGTAGATGTGGCAAGAACTGAAAAAAGAACCAAAAAAATATTGATGAGAGACATATTAAGACATATGGGATCGACAGTTCTCAACAGTAGAATACTTGCCGGACCACGTGCATGGGAGGTCCACATTCCACTTTCG